GTTTGCATTATTAATTTCTGATCAGATATGATAAATTTTTTGCCACATTTAATCGGCTAAAATTGAATATAGGGGAAATATTGGCTGGAACTTGTGCTTTCACGACCATTTTATTAGAGAGATGAAAATCATTAAAAACTACGTGCCATTGTTGCTGATATAATGAGACAGGCAGAATTCTATTGAAATTTTTTATGTGGGTTCCATATCGCATCAGAGGAAAAATGTATGACTATGAATCGTATTTTTTGTTTTGTTATTAGAGAAGGATTACAGTGGTATCGTCCTCTTTGTTGTTAGACTCATTACTCTTGGTCTAACTTAACTGGCATCGGGTACTTCCACTTGTAAGTAAGTGATAAAACTACATTAGCAATATAATGTTTAAAAGCTGCACAAGATGTTTTTACTAAAGCAAAGTGTATTTTTTATTCTTTTCCTGATATTACATCATGAATTCTACCAATTAACTAAGAGCAAATTGGCAGGTTAGCTTCTTTTAATAGTATAAAACTATCCTTTTGGATATTGTTGTTTCCAAACTACCATTTTCCTAGTTGCTTGAGATTATTTAAGTAATCTCTTGATCATTTTTGCCAAATGATTTGGTTAGATTTTTGAACTTGTTGCCATTTAACAAGTCTATTAGTCAAAAAATTAATTAAGTTTCAGGAATGGCACTAGGGGGTCAACCAATTAAGAAATGGCAAAAATCATTTGGATCTGATGATTATGGAATGAGTGGATTGACTGTTAATGATACTTTCGACTTGATTGGCAAAGGTTATGAATTCTTCAAGAGTAAATTTGGAGTTTCCTGTCATTTTTTTTTCAGATTATATTTGAGTGACTTAACTTCTCCCAGATTTAGGTCCCACCAAAATCAGGTCTAGGAAGCAAAAATTTCCAAGAAATTGAATGCAACATTAAATAAGTAGCTAGATTTTCAGGAGGGCTAGAAGCAGGGTGATATTTTTTTTTTTTTTTTTTTTCTTTTCGTTCTGAATTAGTGCCTGCTAAGTTAGTAGCATTCTCTTAAAATATTGTAGACAAATGCCACAACAAGCAAAAAATTATTTTAAAGTCACAGTTTAAGCCTCAGCTGTTAGTTCAGTGAGAATTTCTAAATGTATTATGCACAAATATCAAAACAAATGCTGCTTACCTTTACATTGACTTTTATATTTTATGTAAAATGGGCCACAAAGGTCTATACCAGTGTTAGAAAAAGAGGGATTTACTCTTTTTTTTAGTCAAAGATGCCATTAACTGTTCTTCTGTTTTAGGTTTTACTTAAAAACATTTAATGCATTGAAGTACAATTTTCCTAGTATTATTCCATACTCTTGCCTTACAAGATTAAGTAAAGTTTGAACAGCCTCAACGTGTAAATATTTTGCACGAAAATGGTCCAGTATACAATGGTCAGAAATTTTGTCTGGGTAGTTTTCTGCATTACAAATCTACAAGTAGAGGTGTGCAGGCAAATGTGGGTGTTCAAAATAATGCTTACTCAGATTATGATTTTGCCATCTTACATCATTAGCCCACAATAACAGTTCTTAGATACCTGAATATGTTTGTCTCTCTCCAGATTGTGATTATACCTAGAATCGTTTTCTTAAAGTCTAGACCAACCGGTAATACGCGTACTACTGGTGGTACACAGTAGTACACAGGAGAAAAATAGATGGTACGCAAAGAAACAAAATATTTTTAGCTATTAAATGCAAAAATTAAATACTCCAATGTTTGAAGTTTTTCTCTAATACTTGTAAATAACCACTCATAGACTAAAGCAAAATAATCCATTTTTATTTTCACAAATATTCTTTAAGCCATAGATGTAAAAAAAAGGTGTCATAATTGATGTTTTTTAAAAGGAGTAATAGAAATTAATGTTGTATTTAGTAAGTTCCTATAAAAAGATAATAGTGCCTCAAAATTTTTGTAAGAGTTGATCAAATTTATTATCATGTGTACACTTTATGCAGCCACCATTTCTGGGCTCATGTTGCTCTGTTTTCAATTAGAATATATATATATATATATATATTTTTAATGTCGATTACCTGTTCCTAACAAGTATTTTGTCTTCTTGTTTCTTCGCATTCCTTACTTTTCTATGCAATTTGAGAACATGTTGCCGTCTGATTTCAAGAACTCTTAATATGTTGTGCATTTAAATATTTCTGAAAAAAATTATAAAACAAACCTAGATTTTTCAAAATGGAAAAATGGCTAGAATGTATTAAGCGGAAAAATGATAATTCACAGGTGATGATCCAGGACAATCTACTAGAACTAGGAATATTGAAAAGAAAAGAAAAATTGTTTATAAAAAATGTAACGAAAGTTATTTATCATTTGGGTTTACTTGGAATGGGGATAAAATGGACCCTCAACCTTAATGTATTTTTTGATTATCGGAGTTCAAAAATAGTAAACAAGTAATGAAAGGTTTTGTTACTTCAAGTGAAAAAGCTTTGGAAGCTAGTTACCTAGTAAGCCTAAGAATTCCTAAGACTGGGCAGGCTCACACTGTTGGAGGAAACCTTATATTACCAGCAGCTAAAGATCTTAATATTCTGTTATTGAATGATACAATAAGTCAACGAATTCATGAAATGGCAAATTCCATAAAAGAGATATTTATTCAAAAAATAAAAACACAATGAGTATTTAACATTGCGTTGGATGAAAGTACCGATGTAACGAACTTTGTTCAATTATTAGTTTACATATGTTTCGAAGAAGATAAACGAATAACCAAAGGGTATTTATTTTGTGAATCTCTTCATGATAGATCAACTGCAAATGAATTTTCAAAGAAATTGAGAATTTTATGTCTGAGAATGATATTCCTTGGAATAAGTGCATTACCTTATGCTGTGATGGAGCTCGGGCTTTAACAGGAAAACATTCCGGTATTTCTGAAATAAAGAAAATCGTACCTGAAACTAAATTTACTCACTGCTCCGTTTATCATGAAGCTTTAGCAACCAAATCAATCCCCAAAAACCTGAAAATAATTTTGAATCAAGCTGGGAAAATTGTTAATTTTATTAAAAGCCGACTTTAAATTCAAGAATATTTACGATTTTATGCCAAGTGATAGGCTGTGAAAATGAAACGCTTGTTACATTCCAAAGTAAGGTGGTTATCTGGAGGCAAAGTTTTAAATCATCTTTTTGAACTTCGATCAGAAATTCAGATTTTCCTATGTCATTCAAAATTTGAATTGCAAAAATGTTTATTTAGTGAATTATGTTTGGCACGTTTAGCATATTTAACTGATATTTTTGGAACATTAAATTTAGGATTGGAAGGACAAAGTGTTAATTTGTTTACCATTAGAGATAAAATAAATGCAATGATAAAAAAAATAGAGCTAATAATCAAAGAATTGATAATAACATTTTAAGCTTCTTACCACTTTTAGAAAGTGTTCTAACTGAAAATAAAAAAAATTAGCATCCAACATTAAAAATCTTTTTTTTCATTGATAAATAATTTCAAAATGTTTTTTTCTGAGGATTTTGAAAAAGAAACTGGAATTAGAAATCCATTTTGTTCAAATGTACCTGATATTTTATCTCGCGAAGAAAAAAAAACAATTGATAGAAATTTCCTGTGATCGAACTCTTAACTGAAGATTTAAGAAATAACACAATTGTTAACTTTTGGCTGAACCGAAGAAAAAAAAATTAAAGGCATTTCAAATAAAGCTATAAAAATTTTATTGCCTTTTTGCACAACCTATTTGTGTGAAAAGGATTTTTTTCCATGTTATATTTAAAAAATAAATACAGAACAAAATTGAAAGTGGATCCTAATTTACGGTTAAAACTAAGTGAAATAAGACCTGACATAACAAATTGATCTATCTTAAACAGGCCCAAATTTTATATTAAATTTTAAAATTAAAATATAACTTAAATTTTGAATAATTAAAATAGTAACCAATTTTCAATCTAATACTTTTCTGTGTACATATTTAATACAATAGCCAATTGGTTGTGCAAATGGCAAAATGTATTTTCTTTTAATATTTCTATTGAGAAATTGAAAGATAATCATTGTAAACTGTATTGGTTGTACTAAAGTTTTTCAGTTTTTGTTTAGGTGGTATGCATTAGTCAAAAGATTGAGAACCACTGGTCTAGAACAATTAGGAAAGAGAAATCAGTTTTGGTGAATCGTGTTCCAATCATAATGCTTTGTATACCATTTTAAACAGATGCTTTTTTGTAGCTTCAGGTAGTCAGTGACAGATCATTGGTGTCTTCAAGTAGACAGGTTTTTTTTTTTTTTTTTTTTTTTTTTGTTTGTTTGTTTTTTGAGAAGCTCATGTTGTATTGGTATATCAGTATCTTGTTGCTTTAGCAAATTCTCTTGATGTGTGTGAAGTAATGATATACCTGATCCTTTGGTGATTATATCCAATAAATGGTTGTGAGAATCTCTTCAGTCTTATTTTTGGCCTTTACCTCAGGATGAATCATATACATCTCAGACTTAATTTCAAATTTTGGAGAAAACACTTTTAAGGCTGCACGTACCTGTGCATGTTTTTATTTAAGATCAAGGCAACATGCTTTTATTTTTATCATTCAAATGTTTTCTTAAAGGCATCTAATTTTATTATTTATTTATTTTTATTACTTGACATTACTAGTAGAATCCTGCAAATCAAAATTTCAGTTTTCAGTGACGTATTTTCATCAGCATTTGTTTGCACACCTTTGTGGAATGAGGATTATTCAGTAGGTTTTGGTACAGTAATACATGCTTACAAATTTCACTGGTTTTTTTGTAATGTTATTACTGTTGAATGATTGACCTTTCCCACTTGTGTGTCTTTTACCAAAAGGCAAAAATATGAAGAAAACTTAATTTTTTCAAAATGTCTAAATACATTTATAACTATGTTTAGTATCTCTATGTAGAATTGGAGAATATAAAGAATAAAATGTGAATGGTTAATTTTCAATAATTAGGGAGAAAAATCTTTCTTCTTACAACCTGGTGAGAAATTAGAAGCTGGAATTCAAGATGTACATGTACTAAGTGAAAATGAAGGATTAATTTTGCGAGCAAGAGAAGCTTTTCAGGATGGCACTGCAACTCCTGTAAGTTATTTTTCCCTATATGTACTTTTTAACTAAAGCATAATTTTATTTAGTTGTTTGTTGGTGCATTTATTTTAATTTGTTTGCTTCTAATTTAGATTATTTTGAAAATTATCTGTATGCATTTTTGATATACAGGGTTATCCAAATTAAACTTCCCCAACTCAGAGGCCTGTGCAGTGTTGTATGGGTCATAATGTGATGAAATTTTAAAAACAGACACTTCAGATCATGCGCTCGAGATTTATTACACAAAAAAAATTAGTAGAAGAAGTTGTTGATAGGTGGCGCTGTATCACTAGTAATGTGCATATTGCAGCAACATCATTTGCGGAAATAAAGCTTCTGCGCAACGTATCCAAAAGACGAGCCCTACAAAAGTGGAAGACAGGCCTTGCACAGGCAGATGTTTCCAGCTTGCTGATGCACAATGGCGACTTTCAAAGACAAAGCTCTGTTAGCGAAACTTTTCTACCAGAATGACGAGAACTCCTGTACTGCGATAAGAGCATTCCATCGGCTGAAGATCTTAACGCCAAGGACGAATGACACCACACGCTCTATGAGACATGATGAAGAAGTTCGAAAAAACGGGACAGCTGGGAATTTTACCAGGTAGAGGACGACAGGTTGTGGAATCTGCACACGTAGAAGACATTGCTTTGGCGGTCGTGGACCCCACTAGCCAATCGCCACATGGTGTTGTCAGTGTGCCAACTGTTTCTCGTGCTGTTAATATGCCCTATACGACTGTCTGGCATGTGATGCGTCGAATCCTCAGTTATTTTCCTTGCAAAATCCATAGTCGTCATCAGTTGTCCAACGGGGATCCTGTAGTTTGGGAAACATTTGTGTTGCAGTTCCTTGCCAGAATGGAAGTCGATGCTGCTTGGCTGTGGAACATCCTTTAGACAGGATGAGGCCCATTTTCACCTGAATGGTCAAGTGAATATGCACAACTGCCACATTTGGGCAAGTGAAAACCTGCGCGCAATCCATCAAGTGCCCTTGAACCCTCCAAAGGTTACTGTATGGTGCTGTTTCACTGCAACATTTGTCATTGGGCCTTATTTTTTTTGAAGAGGTGACTCCAACAGGGTTCAAAACTTGCTCTGTCACAGGAAAATGATATCAGGACATGTTGACAACGTTTGTGATCCCTGAACTGCAACAACGTGGCCGCCTCCAGGACACGATATTTATGCAGGATGGTGCACCTTGCCATATTCTTCGTGGCGTTCAACGGGTGTTATGGGCAACTTTTACCAATGCACGTGTGATCAGCTGCGGTTTCCCTACAGCTTGGCCTTCCCGCTCGCCTGATCTCACGCCATGCGATTTTTGGTTATGGGATTCTTAAAGGATCGGGTCTACCGAGAACACCAGCAACCTTGGCACATCGAAAGACGCAATTATTCGACATGTTCGTGGAATAATGTGGACTTACTGGTTCCACTGGGAACACACTGCTTTGCGAATGGAAAGATTTGTGGAGAACCACGGCACACATATAGAACATCTGTAGAATGTCTTGTTGATCTAAAGCGCCACCTATCGGCAACTTCTTGTACTAATTTTTTTGTTTAATAAATTTCGAGCGCATGATCTGAAGTGTCTGTTTTTAAAATTTCATCACATTATGACGCATACAACACTCTGCACAGGCCTCTGAGTTGGGGAAGTTTAATTTGGATAACCCTGTACATATTGTAGAGAATCATTTTTAGTTATGAGTACTTTTAAATGCCTATAATAGTAGATAACCAATATTATTTATATGTAATAAACACACTGTTAGAAAGCTTGTATCTGGGAGAGGAAAAATTTCATTCATTAATTTGGGAAATATTGTAAAAGCTCAGTGCCTTATTATATATGCGTAAAATTGGGTGCTGACTAAGTGATGTATTAGCACTGAATACAATCTACAAACATCAAATTGTCAATAAAAATTTAATGAGGGGTATTTTATCGTCAAATTTCTGAATTTCAGCCGTATGAAAATCAAAATTTGGAATTCTCTTTTAGCAATAGCTGTTATTGTAAAAGTTTGATGGTACCAAAATTGTACATTTGGTATAACTCACTGTAATAATAATTTTATATAGCATAAAATATTTTTACAAATCAATTTTAAATGAATTCTTATATATTCATTTTGACTTCACTAAAGAAATTAAGCATTGTTTAGAACTGAAAAACCTGAGTTTTTTAAGTTCTCATACTACTCGATAAAGTTCCAGGAATGTTCACAACATTGCATCCAAATACAGAGACCAAACACCACTGCCTTAGTTCAACCAGTGGATGAAGGAATCATAGAAACTTTCAAAGCCTGTTGTGTCAGGCATGTTTTTATATATCTGCAAATAAAGCAGCAGATGAAAGGAAGCACAATATGCTAATGTCATTTTGGAAGCAGTTCAGTGTAAGACTTTGAGTAGAAATGATTAAACTTCCATGAGAACAAATGTGTTTATCAACAGTGATTGCTTTCTAGATCAGCTATGACCAAATGTTGTCAATACTTTTAAAGGATTTATGTTAATTAAAAATAAGACTAAGGAAATTATACAGATTGCAAAAGCAATAAGTGGCAAAGAATTTTCAGATATGGAAGAACAAGAAATCTTAGAATTAGACTAGAATGACAATTTTGAAATGGCAAATAAAGGATTGGATGATCGTATAATACCAGCAGATAGTGAAAGCAGTGATAGTGAAGAAAGTAAAGAGCCTTTAATGTACAAGAATTTAAACATGTTAAAAAAGGAATAGTAACTGTCTGATTTTGTGAAGGAGATAAAAAACTTTGCACTCACATCAAAACATTAAAACTTTCAGCAGTTGTGAGATTAAGCAAACCTTTCTTTCCAAATGTGCACAATATCTGATAGTCATAAATTTGTAATGCGAACTGTGTTCGTTCATACTCAGTGCAGTGCATAAATGAAATGGGAGCTGAGCTCATTGATGACCATTAAAAGGTTAATGAGTTGCATCAGACATTGTCCCCCCCCCAAAAAAAAATCACCTGCTATTTTAAAAAGTAATTATTTTTACCTAATTGTTAAGCAGTAATATAAATGCTTTCAATTAACATCTATTTTATTTTCTTCTTTTAATTACTATAATATCTAGGTTTGTATACATTATACATACTTTTTAATCTGAACTATATCTAAACTGTTTTTTTCCATAGAAAGTTAAATTTGCAGAATACGTGTTTGTCATGCACGTAATGTGTAACCTCTATGTTTGGCAAGGCTTTACTGTATACTAATTAGTAACTTTATTAATTTTAATCTGAATTTCTTGAAATCTCTACACTCATATCAAAATTTATCTTTACATGCATGAAATCATGGACTTCTGTGAAACTGTGAATTAAAATTTTTATGAATTTTTGTGAAATAATGCATTACTTTGTAATGCTTAAAAACAAAGGAGAGAAATTCAGAGCATTGCCTATAATTCATATTGTAGCATGAAAAAGTAAAAATGGTAATAATTCGTTACAAGCAAAAGCTCAGGGGAAAAAAGGAATAACTCTGAAAACATTAAGGCATACGAATTTGATATGGAATGTGATCTTCCCTGACATGCCTATACATATCACATATTTTTATATTGGCAATAGCATTGTTAACCACAGTTTGGGGAATTAAGTTCTATTCTGCCAGCAATGCAGTCTTCAAGGCATTTATATTTCTAGGACGAGGATTTCTTCACCTAACTGCTTTTCCAAGGTAATCATAAAAGTTTTATATCAGGTTAAAATCGGGAGATTTTGCTGGCCATAGTATTCGCTCTTTGTTTTCACTTTCAAGGAATATGTCACTGAGGTTTGCTGGATGTGTATGAGCACTGCTATCCATAAATAAAAAGTCAGATGTACATATTTCATTGAAAAGTCTTGCATAAGGTTCTAGCCTTAAACACAGGTTCTAGGACCTTGTCCCAATTGCAAACCTGCTATTGAAAATTTGTAGGAGCATACATCCATCGAACATTATTTCTTCACATAACATCACATCTGCATTACTGAAATGGTCATGTTTCATATTGTTCAAAGGAAGATTTTGCATTCCTGATGCTTTGCAAATGTAAACATGTTTAGAATTGGATTTGAAACTAAATTTCGACTTGTCGATAAAGAGAACATGGAACCGTAGGTAGTCTCTCAAGTCTTGATGTTTTTTGCACCAGCTGAAGGGATCCTTTTGTTGTGAAGACAGCAAGACACATACTCTTAGCCTTCTGTCATAAAGACCTTTTTCATTAAGCCTTTTGTATACAGTTTGCCATAACGCAACAGTTCCAGTGATCTGAACAAAACTGCTGAGCAGTAGACTTCCTGTTACGAGAGGAAATGATTGAATCTTGAGAACAAATTATTATTTGTTTACAACTTTATCCAGGCTTCCTCAGAACAGTCCCATAGTTCTCAAATTGTTTCCATAGCATAGAGATTGTCTGTCTTGAAATGTATATACATCATACTGCTTCCATGATTTTCTGCCCTACTTCTAAATGGCTGATGATTTACCACTTCACAGATTCTTTCAAATGATACTTGAATGTATATGTTGTTCTTGGAGCATATTATTAAGTTTTAACATGCTGTTTTTACCTTCAGCTTTTATGAACACACATTTTTCTTCTATTTAAGGTACTCTAAGAATTACACCATATTCATTATTTTGTGCATGCAAAGCTCTCATTAAGAAATCTTTGCATAAAGACTCTTTGTAAAACCTGCAACTTGTATTCCATTTCTCTTGTTCTATTATGGGTAAGAAAACAAATTACAAATCTAATTATTTTGCATAGTATATATTTGTTCAGACATTTATAGAGTCTTTAACTTTTTTTCGGAGCAGAAAAGATGAAAAATTAGCAATACCCTCCCTTGGAATGGAACTGCAAATCTTCTGATGCTAGCCAGAAGTGCTTCCAAATGTGCCTCGAAGTCAAATGTTAATTAAAGAGAAAATTCT